ATGTGTATTTATGACGACGATTTGTGAGACTGGTAAACTTATGATACGTACGATGGTCTTTCGTTCTACACGGTGCATTTCAAGGTCCTGCATCCATCCGTCGGTAAACTGTACCTGGGCTTGTTGCAGTGACCTGAAGTTACTAACCTTCATGAGTGTATGCGCTCACTCCAAGAACCGTGTGATTATAAATATGAGCGTGGTGAAGTTGGGCAGCACGCTGACGTCTTTTGTCCCTTTGTGTGCTCGTAAGGGTCTAACACTTTCACTGGTTTGATTTTTTTCCTCGTATCTTTTCTTTGACTTTTCATCATGTCTGTCTTTGTACGGACCGGCATTGTTCTCCTTCGTTTTGTACAGAACTTTTTTAGGGGACAAAGAAAAAGCAAGAACTTATTGGAACCGAAGAATGAACGTTTTGCGGTGCTGCAAATGCTTGCATTTGATGCAGTAAATCACGTGGTCTGTCAATCTCTATACAAACAGAAGATGAATGTGTGTCACTCTGTTTTTGTCCTGCAGGTGGAGCCGATGGATCCAAGGTGCCGCCTCCTCAGAACGTCATCACGAAGACCTTGAACACCAACTACACGCTGAGCTGGGACTGGCCGCCGGGCGCTGCAGGGACCCACGCCGTCACCTTCACCACGCAATATGTGCCGTAAGTCTGAGAATCACGAGGGCGGGGCTTATTTACCTGTCAGACGGTGGACACAGAGGGCGTGGTCCACCTGAAACATGTTTTCTTGATTCAGGTTCAGACAGGTTTGAGCTGAGAGAAACTAACTGTGAGCCAGCTTTAAAGTCAGTTACCATGGTAACACAGAGCGCTGCTGAGAGGGAAACCAGCCGTGAGTAAAGAAAGACATCATCAATGGAGCTGTGGCACCGGGATTCACCATGGCGACGGGCCGCTGTGGTAACCCCGCTAACAGCTGATGGAGTCGCCTTTCATAACATCTGTCGTTATGACGACGCCGTGAACGTGAACATTTCAAACCTGCAGCGGAGTCTGAAGTTCAGCTTCTTTTCCTCCTGGCGGCTGAATCGCTAAAGATGTGAAACTCCTGTTTCTGTAAATAAAACCGAGCTGTGTGAGCGATGGCTCCTCTGCTGCTCTTAACATTAAACGTAGCCTTCCTCCAAATGGAGGCTCTGCTCCTTATCCCGCCGTTGCCATGGTGACCCATGGTATCGGGCTCGCTTTCATGGACTCGGGCCTGGGTGAACTTTGATCGGCTTCAAAGTCTCTATCGCCCCCTGGTGTCTGGCTGGAGTATAGGTCCTAAACCCCGCCTCCTCCATGTTAGCGGATGGGACAGGGGTCAGGCTGATATAAAACAGTTCTCCTCAGATAATTTTTTCCAAAAATTCTTTCTTACATTATCAGTAGTTCTCATCGCACTGATTTGTGTTCAGTTGGTCTCCTTTCTATTAAGTTTGATTCTAATTAAACTTATAATGCTGTTAAAAATCATCACAACACTTCTGACTCGCAGTCACGGATAAACTTGCGTCTCTCTGTTTGGGAGTAGCAGATAGAGCGTGGATGCCGAGAGGAGCTCCAGCGTCCCGACTGTTTCAAACAGACAGCCTGAGGTGTTCTTCAGTAAACTGGACTACCCGACAGAACAGAGGTAAGTTAAATGTGTTTGTAAGCTAATCTGTAACTAACGTCCTTAGCTAGCTAGCTAGCAGAAACTCGTTTTGTGCGTTTAGCTAATCCGAGCAGGTGAATGAATTTACCCTGACTAAGGAAATGAAGAGAAACGCCCCGGGCCGCTCAGTTACTAACTAACTACCATTACTGTACTTTTAGACTGTAAGAGCAACAGGACTCTGCTTCAGCTCGTGTGCAGAGCTGATTATTAAATATGTGCAAACAGCAGCATGTTTTCTGTGTCCTGTCACATCTGTAAGGACAGAAAGACCAACTTATAAAAAAAAGCTTGCACTTCAGTAACCCCCATTAATTATTAATTAATCATATAACTGTACCAAAGCCCAATATTTATGTGCTGATACCAACTACGGCCACTTGACAGCTTAAGTTAAAATGTATGTTTAATTTTTCCACTTATGACTTTTGTTTAAAATATTCAGGTTAAAAAACAGTCTGAATTATTGTTAGTGAGGTATGTTCACAGTCACGTGCAGTATTCTGTACAGCTTAAATCCTTGAGGAGAAATAATTGAAAGCATTAATGTTTGTTTCTCAGTTCTCAGGCAGCAGGTCACACACTGCTGATAACACCTCCGTGTGTTGTGACCAGGATGCAGCAGCAGACTGAACCAGGACTCAAACCTGCTCCATCATCTCATCTTTGCAGATCTCCATTTATACAGCACCGACAACTCAAAGGTGAACATTATCCTCAGATTCAGACCTCAACACCACCCAGTGACAGCAGACAGATCATCCATCATGTTCACATGTTAACTGCAAAACTAATGACAACAAGGTTAAAGCACCACATGTGCTGTCAGTGAAAGCTGCAGCTGTTTATTGATAAAGTTAAACACTGACTGCATGAAGAGAACATGATGTTTTCTCTGACACAATTAAATAAAACCCGATGAAGGTCAAAGGTCGTCACTTGTATGTTGAACTAAAAACTTGTCGTCTGGGATCCTTTCACTGTTTTTTGCCAATGGTGTGTTATTTACCATAAGCATCTACCATCGCAGAGTCCAGAGCTGCCTCCATCCTCAAAGACCCCACACACCCCCAGACTGTTCACTCTTCTGCCCTCGAGACGAAAGTTCACAAGTGTGAAATCCAGAACATCTCGACTCAACAACTCCTTCTCCACTGCTATCAGACTCCTGAACAGCTGACCTATTTTAGCAGTAATAATAATTTTTGCACATCAGGTCATCTCACATATCAACCAGCATATTAAGCTCATAGCTCTTTTAATACTTCAATTGTTTTGTCTCCATTCATTTATCCATGCTATTTGTATTTTATCTATTTGTACACATTAACCAGCATCTGTGTGTGGACAGCAGAGAAAGAAAATGCTTTTCTTTGCACACATGACAACAAACGCTTCGAACAGACAGCTGTGGGTGGGTCCCTGCTCGACTGGACCAGCACTGCAGCGGGCATTATTCATCTCCACAGTAACTGTCAACTATAGACCTTTTTGAAGAAACTAACAATAAGTTGAATAGTTTTCTTTACCTGCATGGCTCAAGTACAGCTGCCAGCTTTTGGAGGTTTACCAGCTCTGATGGAGTTAAAATGACCAGCTCGTGCTTTTGTTTGTCTACAGCAGCAAAAACAGCCTCTTGATTCTTTAGTAGAGAGAAACCACATCCAGTGTTGAACTCCACCGTGTGGAAACATCCTCTGTGAGTGGCTCTTTCTGTTGCCCCAGACTTGTTTGCTCCTGGTGTAGTTCCTCCATATTAGCAGGTGCTGTCTGTAATCTTGCTTTTCAGTGTCATAAAGCTGTTGAATTTTACTTGAAATAGTCTTTCAGGCAGTTGGAAAGTTGGACCACCTGACGCTAACTGTAGCACATGTTCTAACCCCCTATCTTCTCCCACTGATAGTGGTCTACAGCCCAGAGCAATCCATTGTGTAAGTTTGTCCAATGTTGACTTACTACTTATCAGAATCAGAATACTTTATTAATCCCTGGGGG